TATTAGATTTTATAATTTAACTTCAAAAGAAATTTTAGATTCGGTAATACCTTATAGGGAAATTCTACCGGAGGAATTATTTGTGGATTTATTTAGAACTTATTTAAGTTTACATCCTGACAGCAAGCCAATCGATAAATTGAAACCTCGTAATTTTCACAAACAAAAAAATGTTGATTCAAAAGTCATTACGTTTCAACATGCTGAATTAATCTCGAAATGGGTTGACAAATTAAGTACTACAGATAAGTTGACTTCTTCGTATGAATTCAAATTAATACTTCGTGGTTCTCGTGATGGGTTTTCACCTAGTAAATTCCATGAGATTTGTGATGACCAATCTCGCACTGTATCGGTCATTAAAGTGAAGAATAGTAACGAAATTCTTGGAGGCTATAATCCAATTGAATGGAAACATGACGAACGTGTTTATGGCGTTACTAATAATAGTTTTATATTCTCTTTTGAGAGTGTTGATAGCGTCGAAAAACATATATTAAGTCGTGTGAAGAATGAACAATATGCTATATTTAATGTACGTAATTGCGGTCCATTATTTGGTGAATATGGTGAAGACCTTGCCATATATGGTGATGATTTTTATGAAAAGAGTTATTGTAGAAAACGTTCTTATGAACCAATAAGAAAAACCGAAAATCGGTTTTCTGTGGAGGAATATGAAGTTTTTCAAATTATTAAAAAATAGACGGTTAACATTCTTCCAAGAGTTTGTCACAAATTACCAGATTGGAAATATTCATTTGTAATATAGAAATTGTAAAAATAAATTAAAGATATATTTATAATGACCTAAAAAATGAACTTATTTAATAATATATTGTACTGTAAATCGGCATTATTTGTTCAATTTTAAATTAGTTGGGTATTATTCTTCGATCTCATGATCGTTCGAAATTTGTGATCATCAAAAGCAGAATTTTCGGAAGATATTTTTCAATATAAAAATTTGGTTACAATGGTAGTTTCATATTCTCTCTAATATAACCAGAGATAAAAGAATTTGCCGTTATATATTGTGTAATTTTTATAAAAATGATCAAATAATTAAAAATCAAATTATTCGCCATCGAATTATATTACATTTTTTTATTTGGGATCTTCGACAAAATCAAATAACGTAGTAAGCTTTATTACTTTACTATTTTAATATTACAAGTATAACACGTGCTTACCTAAATGGGAATAAATCATATTAAGTTTGCGATATGTAAAGAAATGTGTCGAATACATGCAAAATTATAATTTATAAATAGGCTATCACTCTTAAATTATTTTTACTGCAATGAATTATGAATGTTGGCCGCAAAGGTGACTAATTTCTTTTTCCAATTATAGTAATTTAGTATTACCGACCAGAATTAACAAATAATGATTTGCCAATTCTTGATTTCCCGATTCAGAAAACAAATATTTAAAGTTTACCAATCACATGATTAGCACTTTTAGAATTTTTTTTATAAAAAAAAATTTTACAATGAGCGATAATAAATTTTTATCAGAATTATCCCAAAATTTACTTGAAATTTTGAACGATGAAGAATATTATGATATTACAATTGAAGTTGGTAGTGATCCTAACGTGAAAATATTTCGAGCTCATATGGTTATTTTAAACTATCGTTCTTCTTATTTACGAAGAATTTTATCAAAAAATGAAAGGAAAAATGATGGAACTTTATCACATATTAAATTACCAACTATTTCACCAGAAATTTTTCAATCAATTTTAAGGTTAGAAACTTAAATTATTATTATCTTGCTTTTATTAATTTGATTATTAAAAAAATTTTTTTATTTAGGTATATTTATGGAGGAAAATTTCTTTTTGAAGAATATGATACTTTAGATGGTATTATTAAAATCTTAGTTGCTGCCAATGAGCTTAATCTTCAAGAATTAGTTAAATATTTACAAACTTCTTTGATTGAAAATAATTCGGACTGGATAGAGAAAAATTTTAATTTTATCTATCAAACGAGCTTTGAAAATAATGAAAATAATTCTTTCTTGGAACTTCAAAATTATTGTACCGATTTAATATCCAAAGAGCCAGACAAAATTTTCAAATCATTAAATTTCTCATCAATTTCAGAAAAAATTTTGATTTCTCTTATTCAAAGTGATAATCTTCAAATGAATGAAATTCAAGTTTGGGAAAATGTTCTTAAATGGGGACATGCTCAACACCCTGAACTTTCTTCTGATCCTACAAGATTGTCAAAAGATGATATTAGTGTATTGAAGAATACTTTACAACATTGCATTCCTTTTATTAGATTTTATAATTTAACTTCAAAAGAAATTTTAGATTCGGTAATACCTTATAGGGAAATTCTACCGGAGGAATTATTTGTGGATTTATTTA